TCCAACAATTTGTCAACCTACTTTCAGATTTCGATGGTTTCTTGGGGGTTCGCTCGATAGGCGGGTTTATTGGGTAAAGCTGAACCAGGTATGAGATCAATCTTGTGTTGAATGGACCGTTTAGGTGGTAATCCAGGGGGAATTTCGGTGGGGAAGACCTGGGAATAGGATTTTAATAAGGCTTGCACAAGGGGGGGACTGAATTGGTTGGTGCTGGTTCTCTTCTTCATCGAGTCCCAATAAAACAAATTCTTTGATGGACTGATATTCATGGTGTTCAGATTGTAGTAATGTACTCAAGGTAGTTGGGGAGGTTGCAGAAGGGGTAATCGGAGTAAGAACAATCTTACGGTTGTTATGAGTAAAAGAATACGTATTGAGATAGCCATCATGAATTGCTTGTCTATCAAACTGCCAGGGACGCCCAAGTAATACATGGCACGCATCCATCGGAATAACATCACACCACAGTTCATCATTGTATGATTTACCAATACTAAAAGATAATAATACTCGATGGGAGACGCGTATACCTTTACCCTGATTAAGCCACTGAATTACATAAGGGAAAGGATGTGGTTGGGTGGGAAGGTTTAACTTCGTGACCAAGTTCTGGGAAGCGACATTGGTGCAACTACCCCCATCTATTATCACATATCACACCTTCTGCGTAATTGTACATCCGGTATGGAAAATTGATTCCCGTTGAAGCTCTGTCTCTTGAACTGGCGTAGTGCTTAGGGTTCGACGAACGACCAGACACGAACCTTCATCAGGACCGATTACTTCTACTTCATCTTCAAGCGACGTCTCTGGGATAACAGTGAAATTTGATTCAAGATTAGACTCAAATTCGTATCCTCCTGCCAATTCGAAGTCGGCCAACGAAATCATGCGCTTATTTGGACACTCAGAGGCGATGTGTCCTAATCCTTGACATCGGAAACAACGACGAGGGGCTTTTGGGGTTTCAGATTTAGGATTGATGGTTATGGATGACTGTGAATTGGTAGTAGCGGTGGGCTTATGGGCTAAAGTGGGTTTAGAATATGAAGTGGGCTTAAAGGGTTGGCGGATGGACTCAAACTTTCCTTTGGATCGTTGTTGAGAGTCCACCTTGTGGGATAATAAAGTCAACTCATCTAGGGTTTGATAAGAATGCAATTAAATGATGTTAGCAACTCTAGGGTCGAGTCCCCCTAAATAGCGAACGAGATTTTGTGGGTCATCCTCTGGTACGTCGCACTTCATCAAGAGATATTCGAATTCACGAGAATATTCTTCAACAGTACCGGTTCCTTGCTTTAACGAATGCAATTGTGAAAAAGTGTTTTGAATATAAAATGTGGGTAAGAATTTTTGCTTCATCTTTGCCCTCATTTCTGGCCAAGTTTGGATTTTCTCCTTCCCTGCACGTTCTCGCTTCAAACAAGTGTTCGACCACCATGTCGATGCGTATTTTCGAAGTTTGAGGGCAACAATTTTAACTTTGTTATCCTTCGTCGTTTGCTTATAATCAAAGATCCGTTCCACCGTTCGTAGCCACTCCACGAATTCATCTGGATCCAGTTTACCATCATACTCAGGAATATCAACTTTGATTTCGTTTGGATGCCAATTGCCGGTATTTCTTTTGTTAACTGATCCGCTAGACGTGGAATCTTCTTCTCGATTCTGGGAAATAATCAGTCCTTGAATCTGTTCTTGCATTTCCTGCATCCTCTGTACCATTGTTACATCCCGTTTATTAAATAAACAAATAAACAAATTATTGAATGTATAATAGCCCTAAAATCAATAATTATATAACAAGGTGTTGATTTCGAGGAGTTAACTCACATAATTTAGAAGTTGGGGGTTAAAAGTGTAAGTTCCGGATTGGTTTTGTAAGTATTTATGAAGGCAGGGACTAAATGGCAACTTCTGGGACTTCATTTGAAGAAATTTTGGAGGCTAAGGGGCTGTTTGGTAAATTAGGGATCAAATTTGAGAGGAATTATGGAAGCAGGGGTGTAATTGGTAAATATTGTACCTAAATTGTAATGGATTTTAATGCTAAGGGCTGAAAGGGTAAATTATGGGTCAGTTTTGAAAATATTTCTGAAGGGAGGGACTATTTATGTCATTATGGGATTAAGTTTTGAGACCCGGGTATATAACCGTCACCCCCCCCCCCCCCGGAAACCCTAACCCTAAATGAAGCTACAGCCGCTACTCGCTTCTTCGACCTCCGGCGCCGCACCACCACCTCCGTTGAGGTCGCCAACCACCTCAAACTGTGGATGCCGACAAGAATGTTGTTGCCACCGTCGCTCGTGACCAGTCGCCGCCATCGTCGTCAAATCCGAATGCCGCCGTTGAGGCGTCGTTGTAGTCGGGATTGTCGATGTTCGTGTTGTTGCCGCTGGCTGTAGGCGCAACTGTGGCCGTCGTTCGCTGCCGCCATTCTTTTTCCTTCTTCCTTTCGTTCTGTTGCCGATGGCCGCCGCTTTATCGCCACCATCAGCCACCATGGTAGTGGGTGACCGGAGGGAATCGTTTGTGGGTTGTCGTCGTTGCGGTAGTTTCCGGTGGGAGTTGCCCACCCTCTTCGCTCCTTCTTCCACTCCATTCGCTGCCACTATCGCCGACTGTCCCATTACCGCCGTCAACGCTGCTTCGGCCGCCTTCCCGTGATGCCGCCATCGCCATACGCCACCAGGTGGGTGGCGGGGTTCCTTTGCGAATGAAAACAGTTTGTTTGTGTGATGTATGTGGTGATGTTTGGTCGGAATTCACGAGAGGCCTTAAGTTAGGCCTTTCTATTGAGCTTTGATGATTGGGCTATTGATGGGCCATCCAAGAATAATCATATGGACTAGAATATTTAGATGGGCTTTAGGGCAAGGCCCATATGTGAGGTTCGGGCCCAATTTGGAAAATTGGGCCATAGATGGGCCATAATTGGGCCTTTATGATTATGAGATATTGGGCCATTAGAAATGCCAAATTTTTGGACTGGATTAAATGGTTGGGCCTCAGAGTATGACCATGTAGAAGTTTGGGCCCAATTTGGAAAATTGGGCCCTATGTTGGGCTTTGACTCATAGTTGAATTTGGGCCTTTGGATTGGGCCTTGGGCTTGAATCAAGCTAAGATAGGGGTAAAGTAGTCTTTTACCCCAAGCATGGACTTATGGGTATATGTTGGAACCCAATTGCTGATTGGGTGTTATTTTGATGATTGACAGTTCGAGAACCTGTCATCCAGCAGCTAGAGTTTTGTCTACGGGACTTCAGCAGTGTGAAGTGAGTTACCTTCTAGTAGAAGTGGGTCTACGGCCACAATGCCGGCCCACTAGTAGGAGTTGTTTGTTAGATGATTGTCTTTGTGATAATTATCTGGTATGCCATTATCTGTTATGTTTGTGTGCTAGGATGCTCTATGATACATGTTAGTAGTAGTAGGGGTGAAATAGTCCCCGGATACCGGTTGCAAGATACCGAAGGGGTCGTCAGAACCCATGCATGCCTAGCAGTATGTTTATGTTATGTTATTATGTGGTAGTGGTAGGGGTGAAATAGTCCTCGGTTACCGGTTGAAAGATACCGGAGGGGAGGTTAGCTCCCGGTTACCGGTTGAAAGATACCGAAGGGGTCGTCAGAACCAATGCATGCCTAGCAGTATGTTTACGATATGTTATTATGTGATCAGTATGTTTATGATATGATAGTGGTAGGGGGTGAAATAGTCCCCGGTTACCGGTTGAAATATACCGAAGGCAGTTACCGGTTGGAAGAAGACAGTTACCGGTTGAAAGATACCGAGGGTATTATGTTGTATGTGGTATGATGGGGGAACTCACTAAGCTTCGTGCTTACGGTTTACAGTTTTGGTTTCAGGTACTCATTTTCAAAGGAAATGAGTCGGCTTGATCGCAGCGCATCACACTATGTTTTCTGCACATGAGATCTTTGGGATTACACTCTGATATTATTTTATGATAACATGTTTTGATTATTGACACTTTGGTCTTGACATGTGTTGTTATTATGAATGCTTTTATATTGTTGGTTTATGAATTGTTAAACTAAAAACGAAATTTTTGGTCTTGAATTTTGGGATGTTACAACCATCTCTCTCTTATCTGCTTCCATTGTCTCTAAAATCTTCTTCAAATCAGTAGTACTTCGGGTTTCCATGTTGCTCTGATACCAAATGATGGGTAAATGAAGTTCCCAGTTAGGATCGCAAAAACCCTATTCAGAAAGCCGATGTCAACAGCTCTTAACGAGTTACAGTTACACCTACTTTGAAAACTATTGATAAGCAAAATTCTCTAATCAGGACTCTCGATACAGTTACACCACGAGAATCTAGATTAGCCTTCCAAGATCACCTTCTAATTTCCTGCCAAAAATTAGAATAGCAAGGAATAGACTATCCTCCAATTTACAGAGAATAAATTTCATGAAAATCAAATATGTCCTCCTTCCTCAAATTTTCAGTACATAACTGTGAAAAGAAAGACACGACATCAACACTTCTACCCCACGTTTCATACACTTGTGGAATTCAAATAACTACCTTACTACTTTGACAACTTCAAACAAATAAAACTAACTTAGAAAACAAAATGTTGTGAATTAGAAAGAAGGTGGGGGCAACACAACTTTGTACAGTCAAGTATTTGGATACTCTAATCGGGTCAGGTTAATCCATCTCCGATTCGTGTCCACGGATGTGGAATTATGGATCTAAACTAGTTCCTTCCTATCAACTACATTACCAAATTCAACAAATATCGTATACATGTTTTTAATAAATTTAGTTTCAACAAGTAAAAGATGGTTGAAAATAGTCGTTGTCTACATGTTGCCTCTCTAAATAACGGAAAATGTTAACAAATGATCGTTGCAGACAAAATAATAAAAAGCAAGTTGTATTAATTAGTCACGTTAACGTTAGCACTTAGCACATACAATATACAAGTTTAACAAGTTCTAACAATGTTTATATATAATGTATCATTTATATATTTATATAGGTACACACTTTTTAAACCATCGTAAGTGTTTTTTAAACAAACTTTCTACATGAACAGGCACAAACACATTTCAAAACACGGGTAACACATCTCACAGCAACATTCTAGGCATTGAAAGCAAGCAAGGGCAGCGCATAGTTGCGTCATTACAATGGAGCATTGGTTGTTCATTTGACTACATGCCTGAATCATGCACCTGCAACAAAATCGATCAACAAACATAATCCAGCAAGACGAAGCTGCTTGCGCAACTTTTCCAGGTGGTTCACTTAGCTTCAATTCTTCGTTCCTTGGAGGTAAATTCTCAACGGTCGCAATCAAGTTACCAAATCCAAAGTTTAGATTCATGAGGTACGTTATCTTCTCGTTCTTCAACTTCGTATACTTCTGCAATCAAATCAAACCTGGTTATTTGATTTCACTTGCCTAAAAACAATGGTTTATGAAAATTGGTGTACCTCTTCTGGTGGATCTGATTCGATTGCTTGTTTTAGGTTATCATGTTGAACTAGTATCATGCGAGTATATTCACAAGGAACCCCTCTTTGTAAGCTCATTTTTGAAACCTAGAATAACGATATTAGTTCAAGCAACTGAATTGAATATTGAAATGTAAACGATATCAGGATTCAAGAACAAAAAAGCAAACCTTCTCCTCTAGTTCTGTGTTTTGGTCTAACCATGCTTGTGCTGTAAGCATACCAACCTCCCTCCTTGCACATACCTCAAACAGGATATATAAAATGAAACTTAGAATTTAATAACGAAAAGAGAAGCCACAAATCCGGATCAAAATGTTTACCATTTCTAAAGGCATGTCGTTTGCTTTGCTCACTTTGACATCAATCACATGAGTGTTTAGATCCGCTAAGAGACCTCTAGCTTTAACAGTGTCAGGGAAGCTCCCTTTGAATCTGCCTGATACAATTAGAGGACTTCCAGACAATAAATCTGGAATACAAAATGGGAATATCTGCACCAATCACAAAAGAACGTGAGCCTAGAAAACACATACATTACCAAAAATGAGGCAGTTTATAGTTTATACCTCATATGACTCGAGATTTTGTAGAGCATCAAGGGTTACATTTGAAAACAGAGGTGATGTAGCATTGTCAATCAGTTGTCGCATACGAATGCTGATTGAATCTGGTAACAAAAAGAGTCATTAATTGTGGATATTTCATATAACTTGACAAATGGATTTGTGGTTGATGAAACTGACCTACATCGTATGCAGAATCATAATGTCCTCTTCCAATATTTGCAAGCATTTGCAAGAAATATTGATTGATGTATGAACCTATTCCAAATGTGCAAATCCGAGGAGATTTTAGTTCTCCATCCACAATATGACCTTTCACCATATTACAAATCTCTCTTTCATCTTCAACAGACCCATCAGTAATCAGAAAAATGAACGGAATGGAATCGCCAGTTCTACCAACCATGTCAATTGCCTGAATATTATGATCATCGGGTTCTTCAATCTCAGTTTCATATAAGAGTGATCCAAAACTCGCACAAATTAAATTACCTGTTTTAGGGGAAGCATGAGGTTGGTACCTCCATTAGCAATAAGATTTGTGTTCATCCATTCAATTGCAGTTGTAATCATTCCTTCTGTTACCAAATTCAACGAAGATGAAAACGATTTAATGTTTTCATTCGAAGCTATAATGTTGAATGAATCTCCTTCATTGAGCTTCCAGAGTGATCCTATGATTTCATCTTTTGTTTTCTCAAGAGGGTCATCTCGCATGCTGCCACTTATGTCAATTACAAACACCACTTCCTTTCTGAAAGGCTATTTAACATATCCATAAACACCGTATCAATTTATTACCAATATACCAATGAACATGTTACAATCTTTGATATATACCCACCTTTATGTTTTGGTTATTCCCTGGAAATAGATAAAAACAAAACATATCTCTCTGATCATAATCATGTAAAGATGGAGGCTGAAGGAGAAGACCACCAAATATCTCATTTGAGCATACCTGATAATTAATTAAATGTAGCCAACTTAATTAGTTTAACACTAAACTACGTTTAATTTGAGACATAATTAAGATCATAGATATGATGTTACCGAATATGAAAAATAGAAATCTTGAGAAGACCACTTGATAACTCCTGCCTCATACAAAAAGACTAATTGGCCAGCCTGTCGTTTTAGTTCCTTTAAAAACAAAGAGAGGTGTAATATGACTATTAGTATAGAATTTTAACCAAATATGATATGAATTATGAAAGAATAATTAATTAAAAAGGTTAATATACCTTTAAAGGATGACTAGCATTGTTGCATGTAATGGAAGTGCAAGTACCAGAATTGACATTTAGAAGTATTTTTTCTGTACAAGAGTAGTCTTTCTTGAACACTGGAAATACATGAGGGGGAAAAGTGAAAGGAACGCTGAGGCAGAAATTATGGTCTTGATACAATAGTTTCTGAGAGAATCTAGCTTTCACATGGATGTTGGATCCTCCTTCAACCTTGGAATTTTAAGAGTTAATTAAAATGTAAGTAAGTAATTTATTTGGTGATATAAATAAGGTTACAAATATTTTAATGCTGAAAAGTTTTGGGGGGAACCTGTGAGATTTGAAAAGTGTAGGTGTTGCCTTTCATTAAGAAGCCATCTTTTTTGTTTTCTCGTTGGACGTCGTTTTTTTCATCTTCTGGGATTATGAGTTGAGTAAAGTATGATCTCGTAGTGGTGTCAACCTCAACACCTAGAAGTGAACCCTGGTAAGCCAAATTCATGCATTTTTTAGAACTTAAACATGAAATTTAAACATCAAAGATGAGCCAATATCGTATAGAAATGGCATAAATATTCAAGAAGTGATGTAAAAAACAGTATTTCGATCTATGGTTGAAATCAGAAAAAAAGTAAGCTTTGACCAAAATCAAATAACCACCTACAAAAACATACGTCATAGAATATATATCTTTAATATTTTAATAATAAAATATATAATATATTAAGAATTAAGAAAATGATAACATTTGACCAAAATAACTACCTACAAAAACATACATCATACTGATCATAGAATATATCTTTTATTTATTTTGGTAAAAACATGTTTTATGATAAGTATTTTAAATTCAAATACTAAATAAATATTTATTTCACGATTTGTGTATCAAACCAAATTCGATAGTTCGATGAAAAGCAAATAATATAACACGGTATATCACTATTCATAAATGCTGGAGAACGTATGGAATATAGATTATAAAATGTAAATGACTTATAATCATATAATAAATTTGAGAATAATTAAGAACTATATTAAATTCATTATAAAATGATATTAAAATAAATCATAGATGCTCACTCGTACACCTGCATTCTTTACACGGTTAAATAGTTTATTTATGGAAGTTACATGCAAGCTTTTTGACAAAATACACAATACATGGATTTTTTTTTAAATTATAATTTTAATTAGAAACATATAATGTATATGTATAGTAATAGTACAGATGAGATGGTTGATGATTTGAAATGGTCCTGTTGCTGATAAATGGTGCAGCTGCACCACCTTTTTTCCCCTTCTTTAATTAATAGTCGAAAACATAACGATTTTACAGAAATAAAATATAAATTAAATCTTTGATTTTAGATATTATACTTTTTAAATACGATATGTAAACTTTTGCAAAGTATTCGGATGAAAACTTTTAATCGAAATTAAGGAGCTTAGTTAAGCTAGCTATTATGAGATAAAATTGTCGTAAGAATTTCAAACGCATAATCAGTAATTACCTGCTCTCCCATCGGAATCGCGATACGACAATCGCATAATGTGGTTGAAGATACACAATGAAGGCGCCAAACACCGCTAACGGTGACGAACGCCGTGTCCAAATAACAGTCAACCTCCATCGTTACTCCGACCATGTGCAACGGAATCAACGCCGGCGGATAACAGCGTCCGTAGATGTACGGCTGATAGCTCCGAATATCCGGATTCTCAACAACAAGAGGCTCAGTTATGACGGCGTAGGCCATCGGCGATGTAGGATGGTGATTCTGCGGCATCCGAACTGAGGAAGCGGAGGAAGACGTCGATAACGATTTCTCCATGGACGGCGGCTTCGGAGCAGACCTGGAAGGGGAAGGGCTGTCTTTTCCGTAGTATATCCGCTTGGAAAGTCTGATTCCCATATCGACTGATCTGGAAAACTCGTTAACTGCCATCGCCGGAGGGAGAGTACTGAAGATTAGATTGAAGGGCGAGAGAGTGACTGTGTGAATGACAGATGGAAAGAGATCATTTTAAGAGAAGGGAGATGATGATGATGATGATGATGATGATGATGATTGGTGTTGGGGGCCATGTTATGTACTGGTAATAGACTTCAATATCTTTTTGGATGCATGTGTATGACTTTTGATGTTATAATTCTTTATCATGCACATCTATTTGTAAGTGTTTGATAGGCTATCAAACTATAAACTATAAGTTGAAATATATTATTTAATTATTATTTTTAATTAGTGTCATTTGTATTAAGCTATATAAAAATAGACTAAGGTAGCTAAAGTATCTTTCATTTATATTTCTTTAACAATCATAAAAATAAACATTGTTTATCAAGTAATGAAACCATAAAAACACTTTACATTGAAATGTCACCAAAATATGTGTACAAAGTAAACACGTTGTCAAATCAGTTTTAACATTAGAAATAGGCCTGACAATTGGGTTGGGTTTGGGTTGGCGGGTTACGGGTTGGCGGGTTGGCGGGTCAGAAAACATAAACTCAACCCAACCCATATAATATATGGGTTGACGGGTTGGCGGGTCACGGGTTAGTGGGTTGGAAACCTCAACCCAACCCAACCCATATAACCCATTTAAGTATATGGGTTCGGGGGTTCACAAGTTAATGGGTTAAACCCAACCCATATAACTCGTTTAATAAATAAGCAACACATTTTAAAAAATGAGGTTTTTTCAACATAAATTCATAAAATGATTAAAGTAATTAACATAAAAAAAAAGGTTTTCAACATAAATTCATGAAGTCAATAACATCCAAATAAAAATGAAAAATGAAAACATTCATAGAAAGTGGATGTGTTCTTCCTTCATGACTCGTGAAAATAACGACATGTATTTTTTCTTTTTTTTGATTAACGAACCGCAAATACAAATTAGTCACATACGAATACGAAAGGAATACAATGATACAGAATATTACGAATACGGATGGAAATCAAATTTCATTAATAATTAAATATATCATTTTTTTAAATGTAATATATATATATATATATATATATATATATATATATATATATATACGGGTTGGCGGGTTGACCCGCGAACCTAAACAGATAACCCAACCCAACCCATGAAATAAACGGGTTGGTGGGTTGACGGGTTGGCGGGTTAAAAATCTCAACCCAAATCCGTCTATTTTCGGGTTGGGTCAGTGTCGGGTTACGGGTTGGGTCGAGAGTTGACACCCCTAATTAGAAACATATATACTATAGAAATTCCGGTGAAGAATACACATTTTTTTTTGTCAAAATAAAACTATACAAAAAAAATATTTGACAAAACTTCAAAAATGGTCCATGTGGTTTTCGAAAATATCAAGTTTAATCCCTAAGTTCAAAAAACCTCACGGATCGTCCCTGTGGTTTCAAAACTTTTAACAAATGGTCCTTTTCGTTAACGCCGTTAGCTTTTGGCCGTTAAGTGAAGGGCATTTCGGTCATTTCACTACTACAGGGACCATTTATGAAGTTTAGCCTCATTTAAAAAAAAGAAAAATATATACAATTATTTAATATAAAGGGGGCCCATCCACTTCTCTCTCTCTCTCTCTCTCTCTCTCTCTCTCTCTCATCCCCAAATCGATCAAATTGCAAGAAGATAAAAAAATAAAGCTCCGGTGGTTCATCTTTCGTGCAAAGGGGAAGAGGAACCCAGAGGCCCAATCAGATGGATCCGTGGAGGGATTTAATCGCAAATAGGATGGAGCGCCTCCATTTGCTCAGTTGGTCCGAAGAAAAGTGAAGGGGCAAAGCAGCGAGGCTACTTTCTTTCTGCCTCGGAAAGGAATGCGAAAGGGGAGGGGAAAGGTGGTTTGACGGGGCGACACGATCAGCATCAGCAGGTGAGGGGTTTTGTTTTGGCTTTCTGGGGAATCAGTGAAAAAAGGGAAAACAAGAGGGGTTGTTGCCCTGTGATTTCGCAGTAAAATCTCACCTGAAACTCGATGGATGAAGCAGGATATGGCGAGGGATCTGCTTGGGATTCGAAAATAGGAGGGAAGTCGGAGGTTCTCTGCTATCTTTCTTCTCTGGTGAACAAAACTTACTACATTGTCCTAACTGGTGAAACAAATCACAAGTTGTCTTCTTCACTACTGTTACATAATCATTCACAGGAGGTTTACAAAATCGAATTAAACAGAGTATAAGTGAAACAAAGCATAATTTAAATCAAATATTGTCTGTTGTCATGTACCAATTTAGTCAATGGGTGGTGCAGAGCGGGTAAGAACTGGTCAGATAACGTGTGCACACGATGTGTTTGTTGAAATGCTTGAGCATAAATCAAACCTAGTGCATATAAATATTTTTTGCTTAGCCAATAAATCATTTTCCTGATTCATTTAAACTTAGTTCCCCTGTTTTTGTTACTGTAATCGTGGATTCATATAAATATTTTGGAGATGATGTTTCGTCATTCTCTTCTTGATGAACATTCTTTTGCTGATGAACTTGTAATCGTGGGTTTAAACAAAGATTCATTGGGTTAAATCGGTGGCTTTGTGAAGGTCTTTCAAGTGTGTATGTGTGTGAAAGATGCAGGTGAACACAAAGAATAAGACCATGGGAATAAGATGCAGGCATTAAGAGAGAGAGAGAGAGAGAGAGAGAGAGAGTTTATATATTAAGTAATTATATTTCTTTTATTTTTTTTTAATTAACAAAAAACTTCATAAATGGTCCCTGTTTTGTGAAATGACGGAAATGCTATTTTATTAACGACCAAAAGATGACGGCGTCAGCTAAAAGGACCATTTGTCAAAAGTTTTGAAACCACGGGGACCATCCGTGAGGTTTTTGTAAATTAGGGATTAAACTTGATATTTTCGAAAACCACAGGGACCATTTTTGAAGTTTTGTCAAAATATTTTTAATGCAATTTGCTCGAAAATAAAAAATTGGTTAAAAGGTAGCGTAGTAGAGTGATTGGCACACAACAAGTCAAATGATAGAACGATGATCATGGTGCGTCAATATAGCTAGGGTGATTTGGGATTCATCTTGTGGAGAGTTTTAACTTTGTAATATACCGGTGTTTATGCAATAAATATAAAAGAAAAATACTCATGAACTTTAAGTACACTTTAATTGTTTATTTATAGATTTGAGATTAAATTGAATAGCAATATAGTAACTATTTTCTTTTTACGTAAATAACCGCTTAAACATATATAGTTTTGACCCTCATGTATGTTGATGACTTCTTTAAAGCTTTGGGGGCCTCTTCTGTTATTTTTTTCTGTTTTGTTTTAGTCTAGTTGGTCTCCTATGTAAAAATATAAAGAGTAAAAAGATAAGCTTACCGGTCAAACTATATTATTGAAATCTAAATCGGTCAAACTCAATTGTGCACATGTTTACTAAATGTGGAGCTTCAAGTTCAAGGATTAACCACCAAGTTGTTAAATTCTTGTGTGCTTGTGAGCCCTAAATTTTTTATTTTAGGGGTGATTGGATACTTATTTAAAATGATTATTTTTATTTCATTTTGATGCCGATAATAAAGAATTTTAGTGTTTGGATTAAAAGATTTCATAAACACTTATTTTTTTATAAGTCACTTTCTACTTATTTATTGACTTATTAAGAAATTTTTTATAAGTTGTTTCTTTATTATAAATAAATAAGAGTTGTCAAACACTAAAAACAACTTATCAATTTATTTCATTTTGAAACTAGATAAGCTAATCCAAACATTTTTTTAAACTACGTTTTGACACCAAATAAGCTAATAAACACATTTTACGAATAGGTATAAGTTGTTTTAAATAAGAAATCCCAAACATCCCCTTAATTAGATATACATATGTAACACTCCAAATCAGATATGACCTTGTAACCCTTGAAGTATTTCTATTATATCATAAGAGACCCTTAAGTACGCTGGGCGTACTTATGAGTACGGTTAGCGTACTTGGCAAGGAGGATCGCGGAGAGGCAGCACGTACGTTGGGCGTACCAGGAGTACGCTGGGCGTACGTGCCAGGATGTTCAAACCCTAAAATCCGGACTTGATATAAACACCCTTAACTCTTTTGAGCATCACCCTTAACAGCCTCCTTCACCTTCAAACGCCTCTGAGAACCCTAATATCATTTGTGAGTGCATTTTTGGTCCTTTTAGTGTTCATCCAAGAAGAAGAAGTTGGCAAGGAAGCTTGGAGTGTCATTTGGCTTCAAAAACCTGCATATTGTCGACCTTGAGGAGCTTCTGGAGGTATAAAGTTTGCACTTTTCCATTTAAATCAATAGATCTAGCTAGGGTTTTCTAGTTTTGTCCCTTTGGTTGGTTTTGGACCTCCTCTTGTCAGCTAAGTAACTCCAAAAGATGGGAATGACAGATCTGAGGTCCCTTGGTCCTTTAGAACCATAAAAATTGAGTCTTTATGGGAGTTTTGGCCTCATGCATGGGTTAAAGACCTTGGAAAGGTCTTAATGGAATTGTTGGGTGTTTATGAGGCATGCAAAGGCATAAAGTTGCCAACTTTATGCCTTAGGACGTCTTAACAAACTTAGATCTGACTTTTTGTAACACCCCGTTATTTTCTTCTTGTAAGTCAATCAATTCAATCACAGTCAGGCTCGTTTCTGCTATCTTTTAGCATTGTTTAGGGTCTGTTTGAGTGTTCTAAGCATAGTATATTCAAGTTTTGAGTTTAGGGATGAGTTAACTTAGGTTCTTCATGTTGCACTCGAGCCAAACACTCCACCAAGAGGAGTGTACGGCCGCACACATGGGTGTACGGCCGTACACCCAAGGTAGCCGTGAACCCATGCCCATATATAAGCCATCCCTTCATTTCTTCACACCTTTCACACTTCCAAGTCAAGAAAGTCAATTCTCTCTCAACTAACATCAAACTTTTCACCTTGATCTTCAAAAACGTAAGTATTCCTTCCATTGATTAGTTGATACATTGCTTTATCTAGTGAAGATCCATGATTTCATCCATGAAACATCATCAAACTCAAGAACATCAAGAGTGTACGGTCGTACACTCTAT